AACAATTGGCTCAGCAAGAGACACAGTCGCGCTTCTAAAATCTGCTCTAAAGACACTAACTAGACCGCAAAACGCGACTAAAACTAAAGAAATTAAAAAGGAAATACCATATATTTAAGGAATTTAATGCGTTGAACCAAATACATGAAACTCTTAAACGGCTTGAAGATTAATACAAAATGATGTCACAACTTGAAGAAAATAAATCGCTTGTGGGTAACTCCAAAACCCAGGAACTTTGTAGGATATTGCAGAAACGCCTAAAAAGCAGTCCTAAATAGTAATGAATCCTATCTTACTGTTCTATAACTATAATCTTGTGTAGTCAGATCTTTCGGAACAACATATTATAACTTACTACTACTTATATATTTAATGCTGCACGATTATGCACTGTTTTCCGAAATTACATTTGTTTATATCTACAATGTAGACTCTGATAGTCTATTTTCCTTATACTTTTATTATTGTTCCTCTCCAAAGTGCTGTAACAGATGAAACATACATGACGGTCTTCTGAAAGTAGTCACTCATGCCATGACTTCGAATGAGTTGAATGAATATTTTTAAAAAAAAAGAAAAGTTTGTGGCATATTATAACAGAAATTAAAAGATATATATAACAAAAAATGAAGCATTTTGCCAGGGCCTTGCACAAAATGGTGGGAGGGTGGTGATTGCTAGTCAGCGGATATGATGGTGGGGACATATGAGAACCACCCTTATCTGTGGGACAGGCTCCTGAGTTCGAATGGCTTCTGCAAAATAAGAGAATAAATAAATTAGAATGTATTGTAAATGACTGTTGTTCAAATGTTATCGTGTCTTTACCATTTTGTCTTGTTTGTATCATTTACCGCCTCACAAATTCCCACCCATTAGTGGGCCTGGTTTCAGGATAATTACTACCTCGACATCTGTAGGGGTGTTTCTAAGTATAAATGAATCCAAGAAAGGGTTGCCTGAATATATGAAATCTTTGGAGACACAGAAGTTCATCGTCACAAACACTAGTGGACAGTAAATACCTTGACACAGGGTTTTTTAATTTCAAACCAGCACAAGCGAAATCCGGCACCATCATCACCACATCTGCGCACACGGTGACACAGAATGTAAAAAAGTCATAAGGAAACTAATTGCATTTGATACAAACATAGTGAGGGTGTGCTAAGTAAGTGAAGATGCCGGCAAAATGCAGAGTCTTCTGAACACCTTCAACAGGAATCTTAGTATTTCTTTCAGGACGTAATTCATACCCTGTTAAATGTAAGTGAGATGATGCTCTGTTTTCCATGGTAGATGTCGTATGATGGTTAGTAATATCGAGGCTAGGTATAGAGTGTTAAGGAAGGAAGTTATAAACTGAGATGCCTAGGACGGGGTGGCATGCACGCTGGGCCACAGTTTTCCTCTATAAGCAATGTTAACCGATATAGGAATAAGTTGGAAAAGAGTTGGGAGTGGTCAAATCAAAACATGGCATCAATCCACAGACTGTTTGGCAGTTAGTTTGAATGTCGCAGGGAAGTCAGATACCAAGTAGGGATCCTCGAGCCAATAAGAGTTAATGGCTTGAGACTGTTGGTGATGATATGGCTGAAAATTATTTCCATAGCCGCAGAGGCATTCCATCCTTTTGATCTACTACATCCATCAGGCCCTCATGTTTTCCGTGTTAATACTTGTTCTGAAAATACGGTGTGCCATCAAGCTGTAATCAAAATATAAAAATATAAAAAATATTCTTTCAACCTGACATTATTTTTCTTTCGAATCTCATCTCCATCTCGTGTCTACCACTTTGAGCTGCTACTAAAGTGTAGCAAGTTGCAATAGCGCACTTCTACTGAACTCAGCCAGTCACTAGTGATAGATGAACGTCATTGAAGAGGGAGGTTAGTCAAATTATTCAATTAGGCATTGCATCATCTTTTCTATCCAAAACTAGGGGAAGACTGTTATCGAGGCAAACAGTGAATTTAACACACGCTCGACAGTTGGAAATAGAGGCAAATTTGGTCAACAAAAAAATGATGCCATTTTAAGAATCACTCCAAACCGGAAGGCACATAATCAATAATGATAATGACTTGCTTCATTACAAAACAGTACTTGTGATACAGAATGGAATTCTCAGCACTTTTACTGCATTGCATCCAGTTAGTACATTATCCATACATAAAATTCTACATAGATTAAGGGAATATCAGTTCATTATGACAACAACATATTGGCATGTCGGTAGCAAAGCCACAGGTAAACAGTGTTCGAAGGTGTTAGAAAAGTAGGTGCTATCATATTTACTGGCGTAAGCGCTATCAAAAAGGTCGAGATATACAGAGTGTGAAAGAACGAAGAAGAATATTTTAAGTAGAGTTTGTAAGGAAGAGAGAAACAAAACAGCACATAACAAGAAGAACAACAAATAGAGAGAAAAGGAAAAGAGAGAAAGAAAAACGTTGTACCTATAAATGATATGAGTTGGAAAGACGAGATCCAGTTGTTCTACTGACTATTTAGTAAGTTATAGGTACCACGCCCAATGCTTTCTTTATCGCACAGAACACGAAATAAGTAGGGTATGGTTGAGTTTTTGTACTTGCTAGTGCGAGCACATAGTTTTCTATATTGGCTTCTGGTCCTGCCTGATGAGATGCAAGGGGAGAGTTGTGAATGAAGAGGGTGGTGTGAGTTGGATAAAATGGATTTAGCCCATTTTCCACATGAGTCCAAGTGCCTGTCGACCAGAATATTAACAAGCTGGTTAAGTGGCACGTTGCTAACCCTGCTGACAACCTTTAAAACCCTACGTATTAAGATATAGTCCTTCTTCATTAGCCCTGGAAAAACTAAGGGGGAACAATGGAGAATAATAGGCAGGATGCAAGAGTTTACGAATCGTAAGAGTAAGGGTTGGGTTATTCCAGAAAGTCTTCATGTAGAAGGTAAGAAGGAATATTTTCTTAGAAATCGCCAAGATATGAGACGACCAGGAAACATCAGCAGATAAAATGACGCCTAGGTATTCAATTTCTGACTTGGTTTCTATTTCAGTGCCATCTATGTTGCGCACCTCGTGAGAGCCAACCAGTCGGATTTATGCCTAAAGGTGAAATTTACTGTTTGGCATTTGGAGGGGTTTAAGGTAAAACTGTTTACCTTGGACTACTGGCTGATTTCTGACAGAAAGCCATTTAGTTTAGAGCAGTCACTTTGACATTTGACAGGCAAAGATACTGTCAGGTCGTCAGCATATTGAACAAAATTAGTGTCATTTGAAGATGGTACGTCATGCAGAAAGAAAGAAAAGAGAAGTGGGGAGAGTACAGCACCTTGGGGGACACCAGCTTCAGTGAGCGCAGCAGAGGAGGATTTACCTTTGTATACGGTGTACCGCATTCTGTCAGAGAAGTAGGAATGCAACCAGTTAGTGACCCAGGACTCGGTTTGTGTCATAGAGAGCTTATTCAGCAACAGACATCTGGGTACAGAGTCGAAAGCAGAAGTGAAGTCGAGAAACGTGCAGTGGACGTATTTGGCACCTTTATCTAATGATGAGGCGATACTGTTGTGTAAGACGGCTGCAGCATCTAAAGTGCTCCTCGCCTGTCTATATGCAAATTGTTTGAGGTCTTCGAAGCTTTTAAGGGAGTGTTTAAGTTTAAGAAGTACTAGTTTTTCCATCAGCTTTAGAAACGAGGTAGAATATGGAGTCGTTTCCCCCGTGTAGGCTATTGGCTTTACCAACTTACTTTTCCATTTCAGGGTCGTTTTCCCTGTGCATCGGTGGCAGAGTGTTTGGGACTCTCGCCTATCATGCACGTGGTCCGGAGTTCAATCCCCCGCCGACGCGCACCTGATATCAATGGTCGACCTGCAGAATTTGGGCTACCGTTTTTAAATGCTGAAAATTCCATAACTGTAGCAAAAAATATGGTGTGGAATCAAGCTATAATAAAAATATAAAAAATTTGCTAACTGCTTGAGCCCCTGGTTTTTCATATCACTTCTGTACTTCAGGGATGAGGTTTAAATTACAGACGACTGGTGGAACTAACAGACAGTTCCGAAGACTTGTATGTTCCAACAACAATTATTTGCTGAAATCTAGCGAGTCAAATCTGGACTTGGTATTGGAAAGCCAATTAGAAAGTGTCCAGAGACGAGCGACAAAATGGGTGATCGGCCTCCACAACAAATCATATGAGGAGAGACTGAAGAAATTAAGTCTTTTCACACTTAGTTACCGTAGTCACAGGGGAGACCTCATCATCGTCTATAAGATCCTAAATGACTAGGCCCATCCTGATAAGAGCATCCTGCCATTAAGTGATTATAGGCTTCCACGAGGTAACCCGCTAAGGATAGCACACCAGAGACCAAGGACTCGAGTGCGTTCACATTTCTTCTCGCTTCGAGTTTGCCGTCTCTGGAACGCTTTACCGGCGGCCGTAACTACAGCTCCATCTGTGGAGATTTTCAAGCGGAAGCTGGACAATCATGCAGAAATGCATGGTTTGTGTCTCAATGGCTTACCCTCTTGAAATTTGAAACCACATTGTCAATGGATAAGCATACAAGCTAAATCTTCACGACCCGTCCTGTCTTCTCCTACTGTACCGACTACTCTATCTTTTCTTTCTTTCTTTATTATTTCACCTTTATTATTTCACTTATCTCAACCTATATTATCTACACTACAACCTATTATTATTATTACTATTCTACTTTTATGACTACACCGAATGACCAACGGGTGTTAGGTCAAACTCCATTCACGGCAGCAGCTGAGTCCTAACATACTGCACACTACAAACCACAATCTTGACCAATCCTCGCATCACTCCTCTTGGAGTCTACCAGAGCTAAAGCAGTCGAGTGGCGGGATTTACTGCGCATAGGTTCACCGAAGATCTGGAACCTCTACCTTAAAATCAAGAAGCGAGCTCAAAGAAATCACTGGTTTATACTAGCTCGTAATCAGGATATTGGATATTGAAGAATAACCTTCAAGGTTATCTGGCAGTTCAAATGTGTAGCAACAATATCCATTTCTACTGTACAAATGGAAGAATCTCTTTCTGGATCTTCACCGATCGATCTATTTCCAGAAGCTATCCCATTGAAATGTCCAAATACTTCTGCTGGCCGTCAGCACAGAAAACTCTCTGTAAGGGAGATAAAAATCCAACGGTCTGAAGATTGCAATACATATGCTGCTCTAACGAGACATTCAAGAGCTAAGGTTTGGTGTTTTTCAGCCTAATAAATCCCATTTCATTCGTTGTATACTTATTTGACAGTTATGTTCTGCTTCTGTTATCACTTAAGGACAATTTAATCGTACTTCATCAGTCTTAAGCCTATAAACAATTGTTTTAGCCATTGATATCAGATATAATGTGAAGTTAAACTATAGCAGACAGCGAGGTGTAGTTTTTGCGACCAACAGTGAATATGCTACAAGCGTATATCAAAGACCTGCTCACAGTAAATGTGCATTTCTTCTGGCCCTGATGGTATACTTGCATATGTTCTAAAACAATGTTCAGATGCTTTATGTTCTCCACTTACTAACATCCTAAACGTTTCCTTTTCCAAGAACGGTGTACCTGTTACATGGAAAGACATTAAAATAGTCCCTGTCCCTAAACCTGGAAATAGCAAGAATGTAAAATTTAGACCCATTGTCATTGCTTCCCCGTTTCTAAAGCTGATGGAAAAACTAGTACTTCTTAAACTTAAACACTCCCTTAAAAGCTTCGAAGACCTCAAACAATTTGCATATAGACAGGCGAGGAGCACTTTAGATGCTGCAGCCGTCTTACACAACAGTATCGCCTCATCATTAGATAAAGGTGCCAAATACGTCCACTGCACGTTTCTCGACTTCACTTCTGCTTTCGACTCTGTACCCAGATGTCTGTTGCTGAATAAGCTCTCTATGACACAAACCGAGTCCTGGGTCACTAACTGGTTGCATTCCTACTTCTCTGACAGAATGCGGTACACCGTATACAAAGGTAAATCCTCCTCTGCTGCGCTCACTGAAGCTGGTGTCCCCCAAGGTGCTGTACTCTCCCCACTTCTCTTTTCTTTCTTTCTGCATGACGTACCATCTTCAAATGACACTAATTTTGTTCAATATGCTGACGACCTGACAGTATCTTTGCCTGTCAAATGTCAAAGTGACTGCTCTAAACTAAATGGCTTTCTGTCAGAAATCAGCCAGTAGTCCAAGGTAAACAGTTTTACCTTAAACCCCTCCAAATGCCAAACAGTAAATTTCACCTTTAGGCATAAATCCGACTGGTTGGCTCTCACGAGGTGCGCAACATAGATGGCACTGAAATAGAAACCAAGTCAGAAATTGAATACCTAGGCGTCATTTTATCTGCTGATGTTTCCTGGTCGTCTCATATCTTGGCGATTTCTAAGAAAATATTCCTTCTTACCTTCTACATGAAGACTTTCTGGAATAACCCAACCCTTACTCTTACGATTCGTAAACTCTTGCATCCTGCCTATTATTCTCCATTGTTCCCCCTTAGTTTTTCCAGGGCTAATGAAGAAGGACTATATCTTAATACGTAGGGTTTTAAAGGTTGTCAGCAGGGTTAGCAACGTGCCACTTAACCAGCTTGTTAATATTCTGGTCGACAGGCACTTGGACTCATGTGGAAAATGGGCTAAATCCATTTTATCCAACTCACACCACCCTCTTCATTCACAACTCTCCCCTTGCATCTCATCAGGCAGGACCAGAAGCCAATATAGAAAACTATGTGCTCGCACTAGCAAGTACAAAAACTCAACCATACCCTACTTATTTCGTGTTCTGTGCGATAAAGAAAGCATTGGGCGTGGTACCTATAACTTACTAAATAGTCAGTAGAACAACTGGATCTCGTCTTTCCAACTCATATCATTTATAGGTACAACGTTTTTCTTTCTCTCTTTTCCTTTTCTCTCTATTTGTTGTTCTTCTTGTTATGTGCTGTTTTGTTTCTCTCTTCCTTACAAACTCTACTTAAAATATTCTTCTTCGTTCTTTCACACTCTGTATATCTCGACCTTTTTGATAGCGCTTACGCCAGTAAATATGATAGCACCTACTTTTCTAACACCTTCGAACACTGTTTACCTGTGGCTTTGCTACCGACATGCCAATATGTTGTTGTCATAATGAACTGATATTCCCTTAATCTATGTAGAATTTTATGTATGGATAATGTACTAACTGGATGCAATGCAGTAAAAGTGCTGAGAATTCCATTCTGTATCACAAGTACTGTTTTGGAATAAAGGAGATTATTATTATTATTAGTTGATAAAATCTAAGTGTACACAGTCACTTTGAAGTTTAAGGTTTGCTCACACGAAATGGTAGGTTTTTCGAGGATAAAATGGAGGAGATGAGAGATAATGTTTTATTGTAATCCCAGATGAAGAGGACAGCACCAAATAGATCAAGGTGGAGATATGTTGTTGAAGCCCTATGTTCCACTGTGAACTCAAGGGAATAATAGTAAATAATACACAAAATGGGGATTCCCACATATGCAGGGCTTCTATCCAGGAAAATAACGTGTTCTTAGTTTTTCAGCACTTATTTCTCGGAACTCTAGTCACATCTTTTGATGGAAGGGAATCGTACATATGTATGTTCCTTCCAATGTTTCGGAACTTCGTTCTGGTCTCAGATCACTAAGTGAGTCATGACTAGCCTTGCCCTTAAATTTTGGTAAAGGACCTAGTGAAGTTGTTAAAATCCAAATAAAACAAACGTAATCTTCGTGATATATGAAGTCCGTTACTATTAGTTGACTCCAGGTGTTTTCTTCTCTACCCTACTCATATATCCTTCATTATCATTGTCTTGTCCTCTATCTTTACTGCACTTGACATCATATTTTTGCGTGTAATTTCTTGTGTTAGCTCTTCCTGTTCGTGATACAAAGCACTGTGTATAGCATGACTTGGTGCACTTTTGAAATATGTGAAGGCTTGCAACTAGTTATTGAGAACTGCTCAGATCGATATAGAACTCTCCATTTTCTTCTGAAAACCTGGAATGTACAACTTTCAAATGCGTCACCTACTTAATTACATAAATGGCGTCAAGAAGTCAAGCAAAAATGCAACATGGTAAATATTCCAGGGTGAAATAAGTAATTCGAAATCCCACAAATAAATCTGTAGTGCCCTCTAATAAATCTTTCGCTATCATTTTAAGTAACTGGAAGTCATTTCGACACACTAATTATCTAAATCTCCAATTAATAATGATCGTAGTTAAGAAATCGGATTATTTCTGTTTGCTTATTTCCCTCGTGTTTGAGTTAGTAAAGTCCATCAAGACTAATTTGATGCTGTACCAACAAAAATATTTGGCCTGCTATCTCTCTAAACTTTCCCTCTTACTGAGAACTTTGTTCGCCTAGTGGAACAGAAGTATTATAAATAAGACAATTTTTAATAGGAATTTTTAAAATGTCCAAAAAGTTCATAGGAAGGTTCTGAACAGTCTAACGCTCTCATTTAATACTCTATTTTTGAATATCAATCAGGCCTTATGGAAGACTGCTTTCAGTTTAATTTCATCTTGTGGTGACCCTTGGGAAAAATTCCATCTACAAGAACTTCAGGAAGAAATAGCTAAACGTTATCGTTATAGTGCTATCAAAGGCAAATGGATAGAAGACATTGTACATGTTAAAATTGAGAATTCTTCATTCAATCGTGGTGCTATGAGAGAGTGTTTTCGTGTGTAAGTTGATCATCACCTTTACTTTTTAAAAATTACATTCTGTCATGATATGGACGTTTAGTTTTATGAACAAATATTAATCATTGCGTTGTTTCCATTTTCGCAAATGTCTACAAGTATTGTAGTCATTTTCCCGGCTCTTGTGGTACACTAATTAGAATGACCGCTTCCCCGTCTCAAATATTTTAAGTTAATACGGTTTACTAAATATGTATTTTTCGGTAATCCCTTTAGTTGTTTTTTCATCTAAAAATCTACTGTATTTAACCAATTAGTCATGAGCCAAAAGTTATTCAGCGTAAGTTGTTGCATCATGCAGCAATTCAAAAAGAGAAAGTAAGTAAAAACAAAGTGAAATAGGTTTTGTATAAAAAGAGATAGTTAAATGAAAGCCAGTAAATGTACCCAGAATCTTGATGGTGAAGAGGAATTACATCTGCCTTTTTTTATGATGTTTTCTGAATCATACTACTCAAGCTTCTCGTCTGTTGACGCTTAATGTGTGGACCTCATGCAGGTGGACTGCGTTTTCCTCATATCATTTGGAATTACAATTAAATGTTTCAGGAATCGGTCCAAAAACACAGTGTACTTCCTATATAATCATTCAAGAAAGTATATCAAAATGAATAACACATCCCAGACACTTTAATACTGTAGATAAAAGAACTTCAATGACTGGTATTTCTTCCTAATCTCACTCCATAGATTTACGATATTATATTCTTTTGCATTCTAGATAATTAGTTTGCACATAAACGATCTATACATAGTATTATTTACATGTCAAGCTAAATATTTTAAAACGCATTCATTAATCATAAGTGATGGGTAGGCTGTGTATCTTAGTCAATATGCGAGAGTAAATTACACCAGTTTATTATTGAAACTTGAGTAAATGGAGTTGGTTAGTCTATGGCACACACTCGGAGTGGTTGGATTGTAACTAGTGAGCCATAGGTTCAATTCTCACTTCACCGAACGAGGGTCGAATGGTCGGGTAGTATCACTAGTCCTTGTATTATAATTAGTGCGGATAATTCTTAGATGCGTATGTATGTGATTGTTGAATGAAATTTTTGATTTCCTGTGAGTTGCGTTATTGTGTTATATTTACTAAATTATATCTAGCTGGATTAGTTACCAGTCATTTGTATACTGAGTATATGGTGTGCTGTGAAGATTTGACGTGCTTTATAACGCTTCTGTATGCTTATTTTAACAGATTAAACTTCTTTTATTTGAATTACTACTCTATGATTGATTTAAAAAAAAATTTAAAACACAAACTTGATACCATATCATCAATGAAAGATATCCCACACAAAATAAACAGCAATATAAGCAAAACGGAAAATAACTAAGGAGCAACAGTATAAAACCAGAGAAGCATACTTATTAAGAACATTTATTACTTTCAAAAAGAAAAGAGAGGAGGGAATGTTCGTCATTGATTGCTCTTCTGAGCTATAGCTGATAATGTTTCGAGCTACTGAGTCCCATGATATCTCGAACTGCATCTTTCTAGTCGCGACGCACTAGCAGATGCTGGTCCAAAACAGCCACCTTTCATCCCATAATGCCGCATCATAAAACGACTACTCTGCTTTTTACTCGTAGTTTCAGGACTAGCAATAACTACATGGTATGCAAGATGCTGTGATAACATTCTTAGGACTTACCCGAGCTACTGAAGTCGGTGTCCCTGGGTGAACTGAATTAACAAACCATCTCCACCGTGTCCAAAGATGGTTTGTCGGACTTGCATAGTGACTCAACCAGATGCAAGTGATTCTAAAGAGACAATAGTAATCGGACACCTCGCGCTCGCATCTAGGAAAGGCCAGGTTTCACAGGCATATATGACAACTGCATACACCGAAGAGTTGTGGACCCGATATTTGACGGTCAGACTAACTTTCAGGCAAGAAACATGAAGTAGCATTTCTGTCGTATCATATCTCAGTGAAGTCAAGCTTTATTGGTGACTTGAAGCCGTACATATAGATTGAGATTTTAAATAATAACGAGAAGCCGACAAAAATAAGGATATTAAAAAAAACGTAAGAAAAGCAACTACAATACAATGATATGAAATTAAATGATGAAATACATTGTTGATCAGGTATGATAGGCTGTGAGAGTGACAGCTTGGAAACGAGTTGAGCTTTCTATCGAATTATCGTTTCATATTTCATGGCAGGGCTGATGTGCTACTCGGACGCCCAGTTGAGAGCAGATAGTTGGCTTAATGGACCACTCCGTGAATCTTTGACTGGCTGTCTGACCTCTAGATGGCGCTTGACCAAAACGGATTCATACAGTTTTTTCTGATCTTGGAGTCCACGTGCACCACGAGTTTGGAAACAGGGTTTCCTGACTCCTGTTGGTGAAACCTCTATGTCCACCGCCGGACATCCACACTCACCCTTTAACTTTTGTTAGGACACTGTTTCCATTTGAATGCAGTAAACAAAACTTACCTGGCAGAGTCTATAAAAGCGTAGTTACATTAGTGTGTTTCTAAAGAAAGATCCGAGTATATCTCCTCTTGACTGTATGAGATCATTTATGGGAGACACTTGACTTGGATCCATTGGTAATGATCCTGCCCTATATACCAAGATTTGCGCAGCCAGACAGGAAATGTTACAGTACATGTTGCTCATTGGCAAATTCATGTGAATGCAAGTGGTTGTACAGTTACTTTGGGCTCAAAACATTTCGACTGCTTTTTAAATTTATTATGAACTATCTTGATTTTATGTTTACAGATGTTTAAATTTTATTTAACTAAATTTGTGACAATCTGGTGAGATATTTACATTGTCCACAATATTACGTTGCTTCACACATTTATAACGTAGTTAACGAGTTTGGCTGGTGAAATCGTTGTGCGAATCTAGAGTTGTCGTTTTACCAAGCTAATCTATTAATTATACCAGAAAATTATGACTACTTAACAAGGAATAAGTGTGCCACACAGTAGCCTACTCTGTCTTTCTCTATGACTTATTTGTAGTCGTTCGAAGTGCAGGATACCAGGTAATATTAGTAATTATTAGATTGTTGAAGGCAGTCGTCAGCAAGGTGTATCTACAATCTTAAAGGAACTCATGTCTCCATCTGTCATGGTGGCGACATTGCTAACTTGACTGACAGAATTCAGTCTGCAGCAAACAAAGGACTAGATTCATGACACAAATGACTTACTGTCTAGTTCTCGATCAAAGTATGTAATATAGTCTTACAGGAGGTAAATCGGAAGCTGGAATGGCTCAGTATTAACGTCTCTGACTGCAGCACTGGATTACACGGGTTGGGATCTCAGAAGGGAAGTGAGTCCCTTCAAGGTAGTGGATACGCCTTGCTAACAAGTGCCAACTAGCACGAAGCCTAGGCTCAAGGCTTCCTGCCGATTACTTCCAACCATCTAATAACAACAATTCTGAGTAGCGCCGTGATAGCGAGGCATGTAGTATGCTGGCCCCACTGCAAAGTTGACTGATAGAATTCAGTCAAACACTAGTTAGTGTATAATCAGAGTAATATCAGCGGTGTAGATTGGAATCATTGGATAGGAGTTTCTGACTTTCGGTGTAGATTTCCGGGTAGGTTGTCACTATGTACTGACTGAGACAGTGAATCCTATTTATCGCCATGTGTAATAAAGCATCAACACAGGTTTCTGTTCCACTCCAGAATAGTAAGAAAAGAGAAAGTGGTTTATTACGGATAAAAAACTACCGCTAGCAGAGATGCAGTTCAGTTTCTAGAGTGAGACTGCTCTGATAGTTACTGGTGCTGTATAAAGTATGATAACTTGAAGTCCTGTACTTTTGTGCTAAGTTCTACGTTGAAAACTCAGTCAGTCAGCAAGTTGCTAGTACTCTGTAAATATACACACTAAGTTATGAAAAAAAAGTGGAATTAAGTCTTGATTTTGCCTGGAAAACAAAGATTTTAGGTTCCACATTTACTTTGATTATTCAACTGACTATAATGCGAATTGTGTATAACCACCGATATACATGTTTGTAGTGCATATTCTACCTATCGAATACCTCAATCATGAAAATAAGCCCCAGCATTTAAGCATGACCTAATCCAGTGTGCAATTCTATTCTGTTATTATACAGTTGAAGTTTCTGTTTCCTTTTTTCTATTAAATCTCTTCTGAACTTTCATCTTTTTGTCAATATTTATTGTCATCGTTTGTGATCATTTCAGCCTATAAACTTTTATGAAATTATCCACCTTTATGTATGACTAAGCGGATTATTATATATACCTGTGTAAACAAAATATTGTTTAAAGGTGTGTTATACCTTCATATCTTGTTTTTATTATAGAAAAAAGTTGTCTAACTTTTCACATACTTCTGATTGGTCACATGCTTCAAATCATGTTGCTAAGAAATACATTGAAAAAGTTGATCGTCATGTGTATTTTGATGATGTACGTTTACAAATGGATGCTAAACTTTGGGGTGAAGAATACAGTCGTCAGTTAGCAGTGCCTAAAAAGGTATAAATTTATTCTTCAGTGTCCTCCAGTGGAGTGTCATTGTCTTTTTATCTGTTTATTTGCTAAGCGTATTTATTTCATATACTAGTTACATTTAACTCATTGTTGTTTATAACTCAGTTATGCGGAACCAGATATCTCATGTATTACCGGTCAGTGTGCCATACTTGGTGTGTAGGGCGTTGATGATAACTAGTAAGTTACCAAGATTAAAGCGGGTGGGATGGGATTTGAATTCGGTGGCCGTTAGCTGAAGGTCGATTGCTTCAGCCGATAAGTGATATTTCCACATTTTGTTTATGATAAATTCACTTCTAGAAATAGACTGACTGACTGATTGACGAACTTTGCACAAAAGTGCAGCAGTTCAAGTTGCCAAACTCCATGGAGCACACAAAGGAAGGCAAGACGGAGAAAAAAGAGGTTCTTAAGAAGGATAATAGGTGGAAATGTGAGGGAGAAAGAATAATAACATGGAAAAATAATAGGATTTAATGGATACAGTATCTTCGTAATTGAGGACGATTTCGAGCTATATCACCAATTGTCCCCAGCCGTCATTAGTTCTTACCATCTCGAGGGCCCCAACGAGGCAGTCTACACCTTCTGACATGCCTGGTCGCCTCAAACTAACCGTTACATATTTTATGAACTGACTCCCTGTTTCAGTTTAACCAACACTAGCTGTTTTCCAACCTGATCCATCATATGTCAGTCTAACACGTGAGCTAGAGCGTAGGCATCTATGATCACCTAGCTTTTTTCTTATTTTCAACTTTCAGTGAGCATGTCTCAGACATAGAGGAAGACGGAGAGAACTGGTGAGCAGTATACACATTTACTTCAGAGATGGCGTAAGCTGGGAAATGCCACACGAGCCTTCTCTATCTGTGCTGAGATTTCGTCAACAATCAACCCGTTGAGATAGTCAAAGATTCAGCCTACTTAAGATATGTGAAAGAAAACAACTGCTGCAAAATAGTTCATGAATTTTGTAACGAATCGATTCGTTTCAAGATCTCGAAATCCCTACATCGATACTCTAGCATAAAAATCTGATAATGGTGTGTACGTATGATAACTGCATTACTATTTCACTGTGAAGTCTTCCTATCGTAACTGAGCTGCTTTGTGGAAAAGGTATACCGTTTCTGGTAACATACGCTAATATTTCGATTCTTGGAAAATTCTCACTGGGACATCAAATCAAGTGATTGTTTTATTTTATGTTTTTTTATTTTGATTACAGCTTGATTCCACACCGTATTTTCAGTACAAGTATGAAATTTTCAGCATGGATATCAGTAGCCCAAATTTTGCAGGCCGACCATTGATATCGGGTGTGCTTCGGCAGGGGATCGAACCCCGGACCATGTGCATGGTCGACGAGAGTCCTAACCACTGTTCCACCGACGCACAACTAAGAGACTCTTTCCAGGCTGTACAATCGTGTATATATGGTTTTTAAGAAATTATATCCGGTAAGGGAATTGAATCGTATGTGTGAATGCATAAAATAATAATAGTGGTATAAAATGCAATTAAAATGTTTGTGATTATAATCATGGTTAAATGTGAAGTGGCAAAAGAATTAATGTCATACATAGAACAATTCATAGGATGTAAAGAACTTGGAAGCAGTGTGAAATTGTAGGATTAGTAAGCAAAGAGAATAAAAATAAAAAAAACGTCATGTAACATTGTGTGAAATTTGCTAACAGAGAATTTGATGTTGCAAAACAGAATTGATTTAGAATGATAAGTGGGACAAATGAAATAATACTGGAGCCAATCCAAAATGAGAATAATAATAGTAATAATTGACGTGATGAGGGGTGAGTATACAAAATGAATAAACAAAAGGATAAATAAGTAGAGTCCAAGTATGAATGGGGATTATCATACTTTAGTCTAGACGGATTGAGAAAGCTGGAAATGTTGAACGAATTTATATATATATGCGTCGGTGGAATAGCGGTTAGGACGCTCGCCGACCATGCATATGGTCCGGGGTTCGATCCCCGGCCACCGACGCACTCCTTTATCTTGCTAAGCCAGAAATAATGTTGGTAAAGAGGAAAGGTTGGGCATGAGGCTAGCAACCCCATCCTGTAAAAATAATCACCACTGCTACAGAAACTTCAAGCCTCTAGCTTGAAGCCCTATGTTCCACTGGGAACGTGAAGGAATAAAAAAACTGATAATCAGGATGACGAAATGTACTCTTCTGAACACAATAAATGCTAAAGGAACTCACTGACCCGATATAAGTTTATGCACTAGGCTTTAAGCTACACTGAATGCGTAACAGCTTATGATACTATCAAGTTATTCAGGGCAAAGGAGATAGAGTGGTGGTTAAACTGAAGACTCAAAGGATGAAAGTGAAACTCCATTACGGGTAAAATTTTATTTTGATAAAATCAAGGTGTGAGTACCTTAATGTGATTATCAGCAATAATTTATGCTCGAAACGTCATCAGTAAATATTACTGTATAAAACTGTGTAATTTTATCGAAATAAATTTTATCCAAAATGGAGTTATACTCTACCACAGTGCTCAAGTTTTATCCTTATATCGATGGAAGTGAACAGTTTACCTTAATGAATCACCTCCTCCCTCCATACCGTGTATAAAATGTAAAAACTTATGGTAGTTTGGTCACTAGAAACATATGACTGCGAACAAAAAAATATCTGGATTCGGTCAGTTTGAGTTACTCATAAAATTTTTAAGGAGTTGCAGTAAACAGGCAGAGTTATGCTTTGTCTATCTTTATAATGTAGACCGTAGATACTAAATAAGGAAAGCATCTGAAATGATTAACAGTATGTAATCATAGGAACTACTTGTTAATAAAGTTTAACTGGTGAGAAAATACCTTAATCTGAACAGTCGTATACATAAGATAGAATCATCAAGCACTGAAAAGAATATCTTCAGATCCAGGAGTCCAGATGTACAAGGAAACCACAGACTTCAAAGCGATACACACCTTGCCTCTGATAATTGCTATTTTTCATCATCCAAAGGATAAGTTTGGAGTAGCGTTGGTGGCACAGCGGTTAGGACTCTCGCCGACCATGCACATGGTCCGGAGTTCGATCCCCTGCCGACGCACACCTCATATCAATGGTCGGCCTGCGAAATTTGGACTACCGGTATCACATCCTGAAAATTCCATACTTGTACTGAAAATACGGTGTGGAATCAAGCTATAATCAAAAAAATAAATAAATAAATAGGACACACCAAACTGAAGACATCAGCGCATGTTACCAGAAACGGTATACCTATTCCACAAAGCTATAATCATAAAAGCAGCTCACTTACGATAGGAAGACTTCACAGTGAAATAGTAATGCAGTTATCATACGTACACACAGTTATCTGATTTTTATGCTAGAGTAGTGATATAAGGATTTCGAGATCTTGAAACGAGTCGATTCGTTACAAGATTCATGAACTATTTTGCAGCAGTTGTTTTCTTTCACATATCTTAAGTAGGCTGAATCTTTGACTATCTCAACGGGCTGATTGTTGACGAAATCTCAGCACAGATAGAGAAGGCTCGTGTGGCATTTCCCAAACATACGCTATCCTTATGCACTTGGCTATGGATCAAAGGACCTATGTACTGTCCGCTCCGTCCTTCTTTATGGCTAGAGACATGGCTATTGAGATTGGAAGACATGAAACGGTTGGCTAGTTGTCTTTGATCATATATGGTTATTCTTTTACACGAATCAGTTACCAATTACTAAAAGTGTGCGATCTGGTGACCAAGTGACAGCACCACTATGGCGCAGTTTTCATGTATTATTATTATTATTATTATTATTGTTAGAAGTTAGTCAGTAGGGATTCCTGACCCTGCATTACACAGAAGTACCATGTGCTTAGTCGTGATACTTAAAAACTAATCGATAAACTGCAGTCGCTTCTTACTAATTCATTTATTTGTAGAAGACAGTTGATGCCTGAATATTTTAGTAGTGGATTTTCGTACTGATAAGGAAAAACAACACAATGCCAACAGGTACAAAAATGTGAACTCACTTCTCTTCATAACTGACTCCTGACATCTAGTTCAAATGTCTGGTGTTGAAAAAAAGTTTCATACTTTTTTTAAAAACATTTTCTCCATCTTATTATTTATATTGTGTATATGTATATTCTATTGAAAGGTTGATATTTCACAAATGTGTGTATTGGAGTTTATCAATCGACCAGACAAACCTTTATACCATTTGGAACATTTCATAGAGGGAACGTATCGAAAGTACAATTCTAATTCAGGTTTTGTGGATGATTTAGTCAGGAATACTCCACAGGTAAATCGTATACATCTTCATACGTGTTTCTTCTTTTGTGTAATGCTCAACTTTCATACGAATATTTTGATATTGTTTTTGATGGATAGATATTTGTTTCGGTCTTAATTATCCAGTAAATGCGATATAAGCCATACTTATTTTGGTGGGGGGGGGGGAGGCAGTGAACTACACAGTTTCCCGAGCTGAAGTAGGTGGAGCGGGATTCAAACCTGACGACCCACTGACTTAAAGTCGAGTGCTAAAACCGACGCGCCACATGAGATTATCGATGTAGTGGATGTCGATGATTGTGAAAGTGAAATGAAAACTTGGGCTGCACTAGGATTCTAAATAATGGCCGTTGAACTCCATTGGATCATATTTTATTTCTAAAAGAAAATAAACACTTAGAATACGCGAGCATTTTATCATTCAACCTTTATGTTATTTTTTCTTTTCCTTCTTCTGTGTTCCGAGTGGAACTTCTATCCCCAAGCTTTGAAGTCTCAGTAGCGTTGGTGTTGTTTTTATGGGTGGGGGTGGAGTTGGCTAGCCTCACACCCAACCTCCTCTTTTTTCTAAGCTTGTTACAGGTTAGTAAACTAGGCAGGAACTGAACCCATACCTTCCACTTGGCTGGCGGATATTCTACAATGGAACTAACACTCAACATCTAGATCAAAGTTTAAAGTTCTTGAATTATAGTCTATTTTTCCCATAACGTCATCCTCCGTCCAGTAACATCAGTGGGGAAATACTCTTACAAGCAGTAGGTGTCTTTCAGTTTGGTTCATTTAATTGAATTCAGTTTGTAAAAATTAATCTGGCCAGTGGACATCAATCCTCCGGAAAACGCAGAAGTCTTCAATGCAGTCAAGCTACTGAAGGCCAGGAAGGTGGCAGAGCTAGATGGAATTCCTTAGGAAGTACTGGAAACAGACCTTGAGACTGCAGCAGACATAGTGACTTCTCAACTGCAAAAGTTCTGAAGGAAGGAAAGGTAACCACTGGTTGGGAGAAGGGCTGCCTTGTCAAACTATCAAAGAAGAGCGACTTAGGACTCTTCAAAAACTGGCGCGGAAACATCCTCTTGTCCAAGTCAAGCAAAATACTAATTGGTGTCATCTTGGAGAGAATAAAGGATGCTCTGGATGCAGAAGTCCGCCCCGAAGAAGTTGGATTGATGAAAAGCAAATCCTATGCGGATCAAACAGTAGCTCTACGGATCATCATCATCATCAAACATAGCATAGAATGGCAGTTAAACCTCTATCTGAACTTCATCGAGTTTGAAAAGGCTTAGCAACAGTGTAATCTGATAACGAACCAAGGACCTAATACCCAACAAATATGCCGAAGAGAATGCAGATGGGTTGCGCACACGCTGAGGAGACTGTCGAATGAAATCGTCCGCCAGGCTATAGCTCTAGTAGGACCCGAATAGGAAACGAAGAGTCAGGCTTGAGTCCGAGGGTGATATGGAGGATATGGCGTGAGTAGGAGATGAGAGCCTACGGGCAATCGTAAGGCCAGATGAGAAGGACTTCAGAGAATAGGACAAAGCGGAAATGTGCTGTTAAAGCCCAATGTTGCACTCGGAACTCTAGGGAACAGTAGATAAATGATTGTAAAATACGCAAATCGGCTCAGATGATTTTTTACTATTCGTCTGACTACCTGTAACTCTTTTAGGCTGATGATGAAGAAATCACGGATACGGCTTGCTGGCAAGTGCCTACCTGCCGGTTAAATCGCCACTTATTTGCTTAATAATGTCCTTTTGTGGTAGAATCTCTCTGCTGTTGTGAAGTATATTTAACAGGAGAATTTTCAGGCTACTATCTATCTTTCGCAATCGCAGTACATCTCACACAAACTACAAGCTTATAGGGAGATAAATGACAGAAAATATGACAGTTTATAACGTGTGAATGTGTATATGAAGAACATTTCTGACATCGTTGACAAGCCAACACAATTGTTGCACAATCTAAACCATATCAACTGGAAGAAGCAACCTTTATCGTCAATCTTACCAACTGTGGAGAATATTGTATTGACCGAAGTGAACATCTCCTTCATCTTCGCATTAATTTGCTACTGATATCCTTCAGTGTGCATCACTTAAAAATAGCTGATCATCTAATTAACAATGAAATATCATACTGCGTAGCAGATGGGCTAAGGTTATTTTAAAATCTTGTTCTTAAGTCGTGTGTCTTTTCTTTGGTGTGTAGTATTCAATGTAATAATAATAATAATTATTATTATTGTTATTATTATTATTATATCAACGCAGAAAAAACTTGGTACGATATGGCACCAAGAAAGATGCGCCACACAATAATAATAAAACAACATAGATTAAAAGTAAAAATATAAGTAGAAAACGGATAAAGAATTTGATCTGGAAGAAAATGTCATGTTTAAAAAGTTCAAACAGTATTCGTTAACTACCATCGGGAAGGAAAGAAAGAAGGAAATTGCAACACGTTCGCCATTGATTACTATTCTTGGCCACATCCGATAACGTTTCGAGCCATCGACTCGAGCTATCTCGCGGACCCCAACCAGAGAGACGTGACGCACCAACCGACGCTAATCTAGCACAAAAATCCCACGACGCCACGTCATGGACTGACCACCTCTCCACCTTTTCCATCCCATCCCAGGGCTAGCGAACAGAGACCTTTACGGAAGCCTCTGGGATGACATTCGCAGCACATGTCCAAGCCACCAGAGCCGGTGTTTCCAGATGACGACACTCAATGGATGGTGATCTCCACTGTGTTCAAACACACGCCACAGAACCTCAGAATTACTCACGCGATGATGCCATCGAACGCAAGCAATCCTGCGGAGACAGCGATGATCGAATACGCAGAGTCGCCTCACATCCTCAGCTCGGAGAGGCCAGGTTTCACGGGCGTTGAGCGAGACAGCCCGCACCGAAGCATTGTATACCCGACCTTTGATAACCAGGCTAACGTCGTGATGGCCCCAGAGGTGGCACAAGTTGATGTATGCCACCCTAACCTTCATTATACGGTTGGAAATCTCATCCGTCACCCCTCCGCCAGGACTCACAAAACTACTCAGATAAACAAACTTATCGACAACTCCAAGTGGTTCACCCGCAAGAGTGAGTGCAGGTACAGGCTCCTGCCAATCTTGTAACAGTACTTTGCACTTAGGCAGTGCAAAGCACATACCATACTTACAGACACTGATCGCCAACTGATTAAGTGCGATTTGGGCAGCCTGCATGCTATTACACAGTAAGACGATATCGTCTGCATACTCGAGGTCGAGAAGTCTATCTCCAGGTAGTAGATCTGTACTACCTTCACGAACATCCTTCAGAGCTGACTCCAGAATGTCATCGATGGCAAAGTTAAAGAGAAATGGAGAGATTGGGCAACCCTGTCTAACCCCACTGTTGGTTGGGAACAGTGACGATAGTTGGTTGTATGACCTCACTCAACCTGAGGTGTTTCTGTATAGGGCTTTCCATATGTTAACAAACTGTTCAGTTCCAGAGCACAGTTCTGTCCAACGAATCGAAGGCAGCCCCAATATCAAGAAACACAACGATTGTTGGTCTGCAATACGTGTGGCGGTGTTCCAACAACTGACGAAGGGGGAACACATGATCAATGCATCCACGACCTGAACGAAACCCAGCCTGCTCTTCACGAATCAATCCCTCACGTATTTTGCACAGCCTGCGAAGTAAGACAGCAGCCAATAATTTAGACGCGACTGGTAGCAGACTGATACCCGAATTACGTCGACCCGTTTTAAAGATGGAGACAATAATGGCTTCGTTACACATTGATGGTACACTCTCAGTTTCCCATACCTTCCTGAACAACCCAGTTAGAGCCATTGTGAGAGTCTCGCCACCATCTTTAAAAAGAGCCGGGGGTAAATTGTCTGGGCCGGGTGCCTTATGGCGTTTTAACACCTGGTAATTGGCATGCCATCTGCTTCACAGACCGTCTCGCTGGCACATTGTTTCTTGCTGCCGGTGGCTCGGATGAGTTGGAACAGCTTCCGACTGTTGCCAGATGCAGCACCTGACTCCATCTCACACTCGCGTTCTGACCACCAGACTTCGCTGTCCTTACTTAAACACTGTCTAATCTTGCACGTAAGCGCCTTTCGCTTATTATCGTATTCGCTGCCACCCGGAATGGACCGGTGTTCATCCAGGAGTTGCAAGGAACTCTCAGAAACCCAGTGGTTTTTAGCGGAGCATTCTTTCAAGCCGCCATTTGCATGGCACCTTGCAGATGAAGCCAATGTTCATCTATACTACTTGGGGGGTTGCTGGCAATCATTGGTTGTTACTCATCCTGGTATTCCAAAGAAGTAGCAGGTGCTACTAGTTTGCTCACACCAACGTTTAGGCGACGCCTTTTATGAACCTCGCCAAATCGCAAGATGAACCTGGGACACACTAACGCATGATCGGAGTTCAGGCATGTGCTCCAGAAGGAGCGGCAGCCTTGTATGCATCCTCGCCACCGGAAACTGACAGCAATATGATCAATCTGAGTCCAAGCTTGATTCGCAGAAGGAAGACGCCAGGTAGCGCTACGGCGATGGTTGTGACGGAAGTTGGTACTGGCTAGAAATAGGTTGTGATCCGCGCAAACCTGCAGAAGACGGTCCCCATTATCTGACATGCGACCATTTAGGCCCTGTTGACCACCTAGACGATTCTCTTCTGAGCTTAGACGCCCGACCTGTGCATTCAAGTCCCCAGCCAGCACTACAATATCCCTCCGACCCGCCTATTTCAAGAGATCGCTAAGTTGGTAGTATAACTCATCCTTAATTGCATCCGGGCCGGAATCCATCGGTATATAGACGGAGACAACAAACAGACGCCGTCTATCTGGCCTACCACTCCTTACTTTCGTACAACCTTCCAGCCTCAGCAAATGGCAAGTGTAGCCGCTTGCGGCTTGAAAGAATGCTCCGCTAAAAACCACTGGGTTTCTGCGAGTTCCTTGCAACTCCTGGATGAACGCCGGTCCATTCCGGACAACCATTTTGAAGGCTTCCTACTAACATCTTGAAATGGCACAGATAGGCTGGGAATTCAGACAAAGGCGAAAGGCTGCCGAAGGTTAAGACGTCAAGATTATCAAAGGTAAAATACAGGAGTCTATATATGACATCAGTTAGAGAACCTAGGAGTACTGGACAGTTGTTTCGCCCTGGTTTGGGCCTCACAGCAGCACGCACCCACCGGGGTCCGAACCCAGGTCCTCCTGGTTACAAGGCCAGCGAGCTTGTAGACCATTAGGCAGCCACTAGGACCCGACCCAATGACCCTTAAATTCTAACTTCTGTCAATTCATGACATGGCGCGACCAATTCGCAATGTCTTCTTCGATGAGTTACTGCCTCACCTTCAACCTGCTGTACCCTGCTGGTTATGGCATCCCACTAGAATCCCAGGTAACTACCTGAATAAGGCCAGTTGCTAGTAAGCAAAATGACGTCTTTTGGCTCACTGTTTATTGATCGGACCATTTAGTTGGTTGGTCTAAAAAGAACTGCGACGACGAGTCGTCGTAAACGATGAGGTCTCGTCCAGAGATGTATTTTGCATTTCTTCTACAACTTCATCTGTAATCAAAGTTTATTTATGTCTCAACTGATAGTTTTGTTCCTCATGAATTAGTTTTATTTAATATTTCTAAAATTGTGATATGATAGTGAGACTGAATTCCGAGTGCCATTGTAAGTAGTGCTCGAGAGCCTGAAAGATTATTGCTTGAGTGTTGAGCTTGTCGTGTAATGCTGCATGTATCTGATAATTCCAGGTCTGTGTACTGATAAGCTTTTTTGTTTAAGCTCAAATATACGGGATAGATTTTTCATTTAGTGAGAAGTCGTGGCCAGTAGGGTGCAGCAGGTCGGGCGTGAGGACAAATACTCGCTGAAGACATTGACTAGGGGTCGTGCTATGTCGTGAATTGGCAGAAGTTAGAATTCATGGGCCATTGGATCGGGTCCCAGTGGCTTAATGGTATACGAGCTCGCCTTGTAACCGGAAGGTCCTGGGTTCGAATCCCGGTGGGTGCGTACTGATGAAGAGTCCCAAACTAGGACGAAACAGCTGTCCAGTACTCCCAGGTTTTCCAATGGTTCTCTAACTAATGTCAGCTCATGATGAAATCCTGTAACCAAATAAAAGTAAGGTTGGAAAAAGATGTATTACTTGAGACATCACTATTGCTTGTAAGCATTGTTACGAGCGCGGTATAAGTTTCATTGAGAGTTTGTTGCCGGCAACTGCTACCTTGTCGTGGTGGTCGGGCTTGAACACCGCAGGGACCCAACAAGCTAAACTGGCTGGGACGCATGTTCCTGCAGGTCCTATTATGTCAGGAAGGTTGTTTGGATAGCGGTTAGACTAAAGGCAGTTACCGTGGGGTACATGGGCTCCAGAATCCAATTGGATCAAATGGCGTATGAATCTATATTGGTCACCGGCAACCATGGGAATGCAGCTCCGGACGATGTTCCGCTGCCTTGCGGATTAGATTCCAAGTCAGAGGCACGAGGGGTGGTCCCTTAAGAAGACCACCTGCTTCTGTCTGGGCTCCCGGGCAGTATCTCAGCCCTCACACAATAATAGTGATAATAATAATCTCTTTGTTCTGAACAGTGTTTGCATAATGTACAGAATTTTCAGCGTAAATTATCGCTCAATGGTTGGCCTTCGGCCAGGGTCGTCAAGTAAAATAGTCACTTACAGTGAATCACATGATGCATTGCTTTCTAACCTGAAATGAAGACCAATCCCTTATGGTATTTCTTCTTTGCTCCGTCCTTCGAGAAATGCACAACATTTGGTTGACAGCCAACTAAAAAAGATGCAGGAGTACATCTTGCTGACCCAAGGAAACTAATAATAGCTGAACAATTGAAGACTGTGGGTAACTAGTTTTATTTCTCAGGCAGTGGCAGTTTGTACTAAAAATCTAAAGGCATAGTCATCTCATCGATTGAGTGGTATACGTTGCACTGACTATTTTGTTGCTTCTCGGGTTGTAGACATTTTCAATACTCTCGAGAATAGAAAACACTATTAGAGGTCATATTCTGATCGAATAAAACGAACCGAACAGGAGAAATAATAAGGCAATATAATGATGGAGTATTTTGCTAGTCCATAGTTTCAAGTTCATATCACGAATGGTGATTCGTATAAGTTGGCTAGTATCACGCTATATTCTGAACCTGTGTATGTTTACCAAATTGTATTTTTAAATATTTAGTTCTAGTTTCTGTGATTAAACTCTTTTTTTTTCTCTCTCTCTCTTCTTTTCCACTATGGTTTCATCTCATGCCTTAGGCTTTCAGTCATTTCACATTTGAACGAAGTGGTCATCGTTTAATTGTTGTCGATATACAAGGTGTCGGTAATCTTTGGACAGATCCACAAATACACACATTCGATGGGAAATCCTATGGAGATGGAAATTTAGGCATACGTGGAATGGCTTTATTTTTTCATACACATCGATGCAATCCGTTATGTGTAGCATTGGCGTTAAGTCCATTCGATTTACCGGATAATGAAAAATTTACAAAACCATTCAGTCAAACAGTGGTGGAGGCAGATAATCAAACTGACGAGAAAACACAAACTTGCAATGATGATTGTGTTGGTGTAAGTTACTTTCTTTGCGCTTATTATCGCTTTCAAATGAATTTAACCTACACTACTGTATACATTATTTTTGCTGAGTTTTTTTTCATTTGAAAACTTTTCAGTATCAATAATATTTTCATAAACAACCTAGTAGGGTCGAGGATGGATTCCCGTCAAATGTAAGATGAATAATCTACGGAACTGGGCTACATTGACTCCTAGCTTAAGGATACGGAGCAAAGTGGTGACTGAGTGTGTCGACCACTTCGCTTATTTGGCAAGTTGCATCAGCCAACGCCAACAGGTTGTTCGCTGAAAAAATTTCAGCACAGATAGAGAAGGCTCGTGTGGCATTTCCCAACTTACGCCATCTCTGAAGTAAATGTGATATTCGGTTGGCTTTCGAGCAAAGGACTGCTTGACTGGGTTGGGTCCTTGAGATGGTAAGAATCAATGACGGCTGGAGACAATTGGAGATATTAGAAAGAAGAGAACACGAAGTTCAGCAAAGATATCTTTTCGGCGATTTCATTTTCAAAAGCCGTACAATCGCATTTAAATACATAATTTTACATAGATACAATTGTTATTGGATTCCGCATAATTACGAAGGCGAATAAAAGGTGACAATTGGTGATATGGCTCAAAATAGCTCTCATTGGTGGCGCAGATGCATCCACTCCTTGTGACTTATAATATCCAATAAAACTGTATGGTACTTCTGTATTACTATTCTCCTTGTCTCATATTTCTGTGTATTATCTCTCTTTACTCTCCTCTGTTGCTTTGTATGCTACATGGAGGCAGAGTGGCAACTCGAACTGCTGCACATCTGTGCAAAGTTCTATGTTGAAACCAGTCAGTTAGCCAGTCAGAGGATGGGTAGACTTTGGTCTTCCTCTCCAAGTGTTTTCATGTCGCTAGGCTTCTATAACCTCTGCCAGGTAATTCCTATCCACCACCTTGATGTGGTGGAAGCATTCCTGACAAAAGTGAAAGGATGAAAATGGGAACATATGGTGCTTACAACCAAGGGGGGCTAGATGAACCCTCATTGGAAACCTGTGGTGTAACAAGGGCTGGAGAATCCGAGCGGCTTGATGAATAGCCTAGGAAACTGATTTGGTCACCGGAAACGGTAGGAACGCTGTTACACTCCCTCATACGTGAGACTTCAAATTAAAGGCTCGGGATGGGGTGACCTCCTTAAGACAACCATAATGGTTCGGTCTGGGCCGCCGGCCAAATATCCCAGCCCAGTGACGCATCTTTTGTTGCCCGTTATGTATCTAGTGTGTGTTTTAATAATAATACATACGAAATAATAGAGATTTGTAGCTCAGGTGGATGATTTGCAAACGAAACTGTTTGCAGACATTGTTTAAAAGAGTTCAAACACATTGTAGCACCCCAGAGTTAAAAAGAATGGAAGAAAAGTACCTACAAACGGTCTTCAAAAAGAATGGTTATTCACAAAATTTCATCAAAAAGTGTTTAAAGCCGAATCAAAACACCAAAAAGAAACCATCATCAAAGACCACAAGAAAATTCATTCTACCATACATGAGAAATATCTCTGAAGTAACAGCTAGAATACTGAAACCGTTTGATATAGATATAGCACACAAGCCAGTAAAATCGCTTAATTCGATATTATGCAAACCAAAACATCCAACAGAAAAAGGGGATAAAATTAATACCATTTACAAAATAAATTGTATGAACTGCAACAAACATTACATCGGCCAAAGTGGGCGTCCCCTTCGAATCAGAATCCAAGAACACAAATCAGCCGTGAAAAGACGCGATATGTATTCTTTAGTATCAATGCATATAGACAATTATGGTCATCAATTTGATTGGAATAATGTCAAAATCTTAGACAGAGGAAACACCAAAAGTGCCAGGGAATTCCTGGAAGCCTGGTACTCAAACGAAAATGCAATTAACAAGCACTTTAATATAGACGAAATATACCAACTAATAAAAAGTAAATCAGGTGACCAGAAAGTTTAAAATCCAAGTCAATAGAAAATGGTCAATACATATGTAAAGATAGTTACCAGGAGACGCAATTATATCACTCATGAAGAAATTTAAATTATTTCACTTTGTGCTAAATATGGCGGTGAAGATGTTGTCCAGAAGGACGACGAAAGCTTCGCAACTAAACCAACCAGCTCAGAGAACACTATTCATTGCAAATAATACATACGGTTTAGAAAATCAGTAAACGTCAGTGGGCGCTGAATTGATGTTTATAACTTCGGCAGTATGTACTGATCTACGTCTACAAGATCTCTTGTCTGTCACGTTCGAATTCAACCACTAGATTGGAACCCAGAAATGCGATTTCCAACTTATATTGATTTACAATATACCATAAACTAGAGTTTAATAATACTTCGTTTTTAGTGAACAGTGAATAAGAGACTTTTTGAACATTTCCCTTGATTATGTATTTATTGTACTATTCAAGTGTTGGCTTGCATGGAATTGATCGGTTACAGGATTTCATCATGAGCTGAAATCGATTAGAAAAACATTAGAAAACCACCAGGGAGCATTGAATTGCTGTTTCATCCTAGTCCAGGAGTCTCTAGCAGTACACACCCACGACCTTTCGGTTACAAGGTGAGCTCGTAGACCGTTAAGCCAATAGGACCCGATCCAGTGAACGGCCTGTGAATTCCAAATTCTGCCAATTCACGATATAAGGCGACCATTTCGTTCAATTTATCAACATTTACTGTTGTTTTTCCCCGTCAAAACCGTTTCAGTAAAATATTGGAACTTAGGATAAGAGATAACGGCTGAGTATATTTTTAATTATTGTATGATTAGTGTCTGTCCATAAATGCGTAAAACTACATACGACTGATCGATTAATTAAAAGGAGCAGTTGTATACCACTCACATCAATCAGCTGCGCTTGCTAGCCAGACCGAGGCGATCTAAACACACTGTGTGTTTGCAACCGTCAATTGTTGTCATTCCGGGCGAGGCGGCTACTACAGTACAAAGAAGTCGGGAACACATTGCTTTTCGTAGATTTCTGTTCACTTCCTTAAATGACTCTGATTGTTGGGTCTATTGAGATGTTGTGACAAGTGCCGACGAGGTGTTCATTTGTAGCGCTTCTGACTGAACCATTGGTGTTTACCACTGTTATTTTATAAATACAATAACCCCGTTTTATTGATCGGTGTTTTTCGGGGTAAAGTAACTTATTATCATTATATTATTTATTCGACGTTCAAAAATTATTTGGATTTGGTGATAATGATTATGTTAAGTGATGTTTACTGCTGACAATGTTGTCTCCAAGATATGTTATCTTCACAAACTGTGTTATCAGCTGGAGAAGCATGAAAAATCAGAGTCCCGTGGACCATCTATCTCGTCCTAATTTTGATGCTGTTTACCAGTGTCATCTACAAATCTGCATAGATAGGGGAATCTGAAGTCCTCGGCTCACATAGTTAACAAACTGGTCTTGTCATTTAGCAATCATGTCTAATTCATATCGATACTGGATTTTCATCATGAGCTGACATTAGTTAGAGAACCATTGGAAAACCTGGGAGTACTGGACAGCTGTTTCGCCCTAGTCTGGGACTCTTCATCAGTACGCACCCACCGGGATTCGAACCCAGGACCTTCCGGTTACAAGGCGAGCTCGTATACCATTAAGCCACTTGGGCCCGATCCAATGGCCAGCCCATGAATTCTAACTTCTGCCAATTCACGACATAGCGCGACCCCTAGTCAATGTCTTCAGCGAGTATTTGTCCTCACACCCGACCTGCTGCACCCTACTGATTATAATTATAAATTTACTTCTGTTGAATCTCACCATCTCCTCTTTACTGCCTAATATAGATATATTTATTTTGATGCACACTTCTCTTTGTAAACTTAGGAGGAGGTGGTGTTCAGTGGAACAGTAGCTATTCCAGCTTCTCGTCGAAATGATTATTCTTTTCGTCGACTGGTTTCAGAAAATTTAGACTCATCTGATCTACAAAATAAAAACAATAATATGACGAGTGGACTAGCAAACAGTGATTTTGTGAATCCAGCCGATTTTATGGAGTCGCACAGTTTACCATCATCGAATTTACCCTTTCTGCCTACTGATTCGCCAATAGTAAATCGTTATGGTATTCTACAAAGAAGAAGTAACATTTCAAATGGTGGTATCACTACGGCTACCAGTAATTCGGCAGCTAGTGGGAAACGCAGTGCTAAATGTAATGGCAGTGATCATGATTATTTGAATGGTAATTCTACAGATGATTTAATCTTTGGTCCATTGTCTATTCATGACGTTTCATATGATTCAGGCATCAGTTTCGACACTGCGCCATTCTCTGCGAATGCATTTAAAACGCAAAACTCCATTAATGATTTCTGTCATGAACAACAATCCAGTTCAGATTTGGATCAGTCAAATTCTCAATTGAATTTCATTGATAGTGAAGGAAAACGTAGTAAGGTAAGGCGTTATTACTTCGAAGTAAAATATCACTATTTTTATTTATTTATTTATTCATTTTGTTTATATGTCACTTAATTTTTTTCTTATTCCTTCAAGTTACCAGCGGAACATAGGGCTTCAAGCTAGCAGCTTGAAGTTTCTGTAGCAGTGTTTATTTTTACAGAATGGGGTTGCTAGCCTCATCCCCAACCTCTCCTCTTTACCAACTTTATTATTGGCTTAGCGAACTAAAGGAGTGCGTCGGTGGTCGGGGATCGAACCCCGGACCATGTGCATGGTCGGCGAGCGTCTTAACCGGTGTGCCACTGACACTACTTGTCACTTGATATAAGCCCTAAAAATGATAATTATAGTGGAGCTGTGGCATTCATTGGCTTAATCACTTGACTACCAACTGCTGCATCACACAGCGTGGAACCCCATGTCTCGTTTACTGAAGTTTGGACAGGTGGAGAGTATCATTAGTCCCCCATTCAATAGGCATGGCTCAGACAATTTCAACTACATAAAAATGCAAATCATTAATGAGTAAAATATCGTCTTCATTTCACGACTATTATTTATTGATTGGAGATTCAGTCTAGAACCGGAGACTCCTTTTCTGACACTAAAAAAGTTTGAGATAAGTTGTGTGTTTTTTAATCCTCGAAATTAGCACTACTGCTTTGCTGCTAAACTGCTACATCTAAATGAGACTATCAGAGAAACTAGGTTAATTATACCGAATAGCTTCTTTAAAAATTGAAAACATTTCTATCCCGTCGCAAATTTAAAACGAGCAACAACTGTGAAAAAAGCAGTATTTGGTGAATTCATAAATTTTGATAGGACTCTTCAGCTGAATACTCTACAAACATTGTTATTTATACAATTATTTCAAGGTTAGCACACATGCAAACACATGGACATTGTTACAATAAATATGTATCAAGAGTTTGGTTTGTAAGGAGTAGATTTGATTATACGACTTTGACCACGGATTGATGTCAGTTGGTGGTCGCGCTAAATCACAAATTGCTAGAAGTTAGAATTCATGGGTTGGCCATTGAATCGGGTCCCAATGGCTGAATGGTATAAGAGCTTGCCTTGTAACTAGAAGCTCCTGGGTTCAAACTCCAGTGGGTGCGTACTGCCGATGATTCCCAAACTAGGTTGGAACAACTGTCCAATACCCCCTGGCTTTCAATGGTTCTCTAACTGATATCAATCCGTAGTCAAACTCGTATAAATAAGTATCAGTTCCAATTAATATATCATCTATAAGTGGTGAGTTATAATCTGTTAGCGTTATTATTAACTGAATAATACTCATCAAAGCACATACTGACCAATGAACTAGAGTTATATATTTTGATTGGACACCAGTTAGTAACTAGTATCACGCATCTAGTCCTTTGTTTTGTGCAGGCTGAATTCTGTCAGGCAATTCTGCAATGTGACCACCATGCTAGGTAGCTTGGCATAACTAGTGTCCCATCAGAGTACCGAATACAATCTTACAGGAGGTCAATCGTGAACTTGAACAGGCAGAAGAATCATTAGTGTTAAGTAACTATCCTATAAAATTCATTAAGAAGATCACAAAAGGTCACAAGAAAAATAAGAATAAAAAGTAGTGAAACTAATAATGATAACGTAAATAAGAAAGAGTATAAGGCATCTACAATTTTACCATATAAAGAAGGGAAACCTGTAGGATTCTTAATAAAGCAGGGATTAGGGCAAGATTAAAACCTGCAAACTCACTCAGAGACAAGCTTTGTATATTAGAGGACTCCAGTGACCCAATTACACAAAATAATATAATTTACAAAATACCTTGCAATGACTGTGAGGTCAACTACATAGTTCAAACCAGCGGATCGGGGATAGTCAGATTATCGGAACATAAGAGTTTGGCCAACTGAAGGATGACTGATCCCGCGAAGACATGTAATTTAGAAAAAAATCTCAGCAATTGCACTGCATGCATTAACACATAACTACAATTATTGTGTTATGGCTACTCAATTGCCCGGTCTGAAGTAGGGGGAGTGAGGTCTGAACCCCGGGACCCATTGATTGGAAGTTGTGTGCTTAAGCCAGTAAACCATATCCCTACAATTTCCCTGTACAACAAACTTCTCTCTCTTTCGCATTACAGATCTTAGAAACAAAAAACTTCAACTTTACTAACATTACTGTAATTATGTGGAGTACGTAACCATATGATTGTACACTTTTGGTTAGATGTCGAAATTAGAAACATGAACTTGCTCTAGACAGTCCCCTACAATTATACCAAGGAAATGTTTTGCATAAGTGATCGGTGTGTTTGCGAGCTTTTAAACATCGGATTATTAATAGTACATTTGTATTCATTCCCAAAACTCAATGCAGAGTCTTCTGAACACCTTGAGGAGCAATCTGCTAATGTTTGGCATGTGATTCGGTCCAGTCAAGTGTAAGACGAGATGCTACAGGACTGGACTACATTGACTCCTAGTTTAAAGATAGGGAGTAAAGTGGTGGCTGAGCGTGTTGACCACTTCACTTATTTGGGAAGTTGCATAAACCAACGCCAACAGGTTGATCGCTGACGAAATCTCAGCACGGATACAGAAGGCCAGTTTTGCATATGCCAGTTTACTCCGTCTCTGGCTTAGTAGATGTGATATCCGGTTTTCGACCAAAGGACATGTATGCTACTCACCAGTTCGCTCTGTCCTTCTTTATGGGTGCGAGTGAAACATGGCCATTGTAAGTGGAAGACATGAAAATGCCGGCTAGCTGTCTTTGTTCATAGGTGTCTGCGTTCCATCTCCCGTGCGAAGTGGTATAATGGGGTGAGCAATATTGAGGTTAGGCTTTGGTCGAGTGCTAGGCAGGAAGGGAGGGGAAATCAGTCGATGGAATAGGACGGGAGACTTGATTGTGGATTTTTATTATGGAAAACACATCATATTTATACATATGCTTAGCCATATTAAAATTCGACTAGATCAGAGGACAGAAAATTGTTCTTATTGGTTGGCAATTGTTGGCCCAAGGTTAAACAAGTTGTCCAGTGAGATTATTTCATGCCCACAACGTGAACTAAGTCGAGATTTGAGGAATAAACACTTTTACATCTGCAGTCATTGACTTAAAATGGCTTTTTCTTATCAATCTGCATCACGACACACACAGTTATGCATTATTAAATTGTATCGTCAATTATATCACCCATAAGTGATATACGTTAAAATTGTATTCCTATTGCAACGTGTTCTGTTTGATGCTGTTCTGATAGCTTCACTAATTCCATGGGTAGAATTCATGTTTCGTTTAAAGTAGATGATCACGTGTTGAATAAATTTCCCCGACCTTGACCCTTCAAAGTATAAAAGTATATTCGTCCTTCATTGATCAGTCGATCTTATTGTTTAGCTATTTGGTGACTGATCAGAACTCTTTTCGTGCTGTCGTACTTTTTTTTAAAATTTGTTTATTTTTGTGTTGGATTCGGTTGTTTTCTGAGGGTTTTCCGTTTTTGTCTTTTTTTCTAATTTGGGAATGTAGAAGCTAACACTTATAATAGCAGTAGTATCATAATTGTCATAAAGCCATGTATTTCAAAAGTTGAAGACAATTCACGCTGATATTTGTTTATCTGACCTATATTGTTAAATTTGATCTACTCTCAGGAAGTGTTATCCTGTTATTAATATTTTGACGAAGTTTGAACTTATTCGGTGCGTATTGCAGAAGAATCCCAAACTAGGATTACTAGGATTATTAGCCGCTCCAACTCGGCAACTTAAAAACATACATTGCAATTAAATATCGAAAACCGCGACAGGAGGCAACGAAGAAACAGGCATGAAATGGACCCACACAAAAAGCTTGGAGGATCTGCACTTTGCCGATGATATATGTCCGATTTCCCACAAACTGGAAGATATGTAAGTGTGAATAGGCAACAAGTTGGCAGAAGAAGCTTCCAGAGAAGATAGGCCTTCATGTGAACATAGAGAAAACAGAGGTGATGAAGATTCCTGGCCAGCAGTAACAGCAACAATAACAGACAATAATCGGCATCAATGGCAGGAATCTGAAAGAAGCAATCTCCTTTACCTACCGATCTGGGAAACATCGTCTCAACTACAGGCGGAACTGATGAAGATATCAAAGCGAGGATCTGGAAAGCAAGGCAAGCTTGCATTATTCTCAAGTCTGTGTAAAGATCAACAGCACTCAGCATGAAAAATGTGAAGTCAGTGCTACTAAACATACGGATCATCGACTTGGCACCGCGTCACGAAGAGCACTTCGAACAAACTACAGACCTTCGTCAGCAGCTGTCTTCGCTCAATTCTTCACTTAAGATCAGATAGCCGGCCAGAAAAGATCAGCAACAGAGAGGGATCTCTGGTAGCGAACGGTCCCCAGCAGGAGCCAATTGTGCAACAAATATGCAGGAAGAAATGGAGATGGCTTGGCCATACTCTGAGAAAACCATCAAGTGACGTCACACTCCAGGTCATTGCTCAATTGGAACCCGAACGGGAAGCGGCGAGTTGGTTGTCCGAGGGCGACATGGATGAGGTCATGTGAAGAGGCGATAAAAACTTTGTGGCACACATGGAGTCGGGTGAAAATGTTGGCAGAGAACCAAACGCAATGGAGACATGCGGCTGAAGCCTTATGTTCCTCTAGGAATTAAAGGAAACAATACTAATGACAATAAATGATTAAATATCACTTCGAAGTGTTGCTGATGTACTTGTAGGAGATCTTAGGTCGCTTAGGAATGCAGTTATGTAGAAATACTGTCGGTCTGACGAGAATATCCCGACAAATCCTTGCAAATTGCGGTTGAGTAATGTTAAGCACCCAGCTTATGGTTATTGGTGTGAATAACGTATTTTGTAATTAAAAGCTCAGATGTTTGCTACCAGTGTGTTTAATATATCTAAGTAACGCATCATCACTTGGAACATTTGTGAAGAAATAATTCACAAAGAGTAAGTTTCATT